TCCCGAACAAGTGGGATATTCAAGACAAGAAACTAAACAAAGAATACGAAAGCAAAGAACTTGTATTTTGCTATAAAACATGTTTTACTATTCCACTATATACATGTATCGCGAAATAAGTCTTTATACATCCTAGTGTAATCATTTTATATAGATTACAATTTATGATAGCGTTGCTGTAACATATAAAATGTGTTTATAAAGTTTATTAAGGAATAAGAATGGTAAATATATATATGATGTACTAAATAATAATTACAATCTTTCTACATATATTACAAGTGTTACTTGAGGTACATATTTCATATAATGCGTTTATTGCATTTAGTGTGCTCAATTCTGCGCACTTTGTATGCTCTGCTCGCTAAAAATGTCGTATATATCCCGAACAAGTGGGATATTCAAGACAAGAAACTAAACAAAGAATACGAAAGCAAAGAACTTGTATTTTGCTATAAAACATGTTTTACTATTCCACTATATACATGTATCGCGAAATAAGTCTTTATACATCCTAGTGTAATCATTTTATATAGATTACAATTTATGATAGCGTTGCTTATTACAGTGACAAATCGATTCTACTCACAACAATGTTAATATTAACAGTAAGAATCTAAAATCATAGCGCGGCGTATTTGCCAGAGTTACCCTACAATAAAATTACAAAAATTACATAAAATTATATTTAATTATAGGTAAAATTGACACATATATTTTATATATAATCATATATAAAATATATTTATATATATAACATTTTTTCTTGGCTTATTACAAAAAAAAGAAATATATTTTGATAGACGCGAGTTTCCGCTGCTTGATGATGTGACCTGTGCATCATATTTGGTAATTGTCTATATATAAATCTACATAGATGACACCTATCAAACAACACAACATCTAAAATTGTGATACAAATTTTTAAGTCGTCTTTTAGACGCAGGAAACGTCTTATGGCCCAATTTTAAATACTGTTTTTTATCTGAGCTTATACAATAATTTGCGTTGTGTACACAAAAATGGAAAATATCATGATTTGCGCGTAAATGCACAATCAAAAGGTAATCAACACTTTTTTTATTCTTAGTGAATTTTTTATTTACTCGCGCGTGCATACATTTTGTATGCATAAATACATGTATGAATAAATAAAGAAGATTTTTATTCTTTAAAAAAAGATAAATATTGAGTAACTGGCAATCAAATTTAATTTTTAGTCATTAAATTTAATTTTTTATATGTTATATAGGTAACGACGAGATATCTAACATAAGATCATAGATTTAAACGAGAAAAACATGTACCCTTGTGAAACGCATAAAAAAATGTATAAGAAAATGAACCAAAGTTTATTATTTCCTTTATTTCCATATAAGAGGACTATGATTAGTTGATTTATTTATAGCATTTCAATTTATTTATGCGTCATGTCTCATGCACTATATAAGAGTCTGTACTCTTCGCTTTTGCATATTACTGCTGTTAAAACATCAGAGAAGAAAGCTGTAAGAGCTGCCTATACACTTTTAGACAGGTATTCATAGTCTATTTCAATTTGCTTTCTTATAGACCTGTAATACGATTTTTTTTAAACCGAATTATTCAATATTAAAGCAATAAGGGCCGTTTGTGCTTCAACATTAAAAAACTTGGTGAAAAAAAATCATACAGTGGTTAAAAAAGCAAATTAGTAAAGGTAAAAATTCACTCTTTCAAAAGCTGTAAACCCCATTTGTGAGCAAGTTTTAATTGACGACATGGTGCGAATGACGCCACATACATGTGACGTATGACGTACTCCAACTTATCTCCAAGAGACGGCAATAAATCGTACGTCAAACGCCAAAGTTTGTGCGTTACTTACGTTTACAACTTAAAAACTCTAAGACCCGATTGCACCAACATTATTTTCAAGCAAGGTTTAAAACTCTTTTTGTCTGTCTCTTTTCGCTGTTAAAACAAGATAGAGAGACTTTTAAGTATCGCTTAAAGTCAAAGTAACATTGATACAATCGGATCTAGGAAGTAAGAGTTACAACTCTTGTGCTCAGACCTTATCTTTAGAGATTCTAGTGTGGGTATAAAGAGAGTGGCGCCAATGCATGTGCCTAACGCTGATTAGTTATGCTATTAGGTGTAATTACTGTTAGTTAGAAGAAGACAGTGAGTTAAAGTAAGTTAGATAAAGAAAGAGAAGTTAAAACGATGAATTGCGTCATGTAGATATTTCAGATGTAGGCACACCAAATGGCGACTTCCGGTTAATTGGCGTCATTCTCTTTATACCCACTCTACAGTCTCTAAAGATAGAGTCTGAGCACAAGAATTGTCATAACATTTATTTAGACCCGATTGCACCAATATTACTTTGACTTTAAGCGAGAGTTAAAACTATCTCTATCTCATTTTAAAGTTAAAAAAGAGACGGAGACAAAGAGAGTTTTAAGCCTTGCTTAAAATCAAAGTAACGTTGGTACAATCAGGCCTTAGAGACTTAAGTTGTACACGTAACGCACAAGCTTTGGCAATGCTATGACGTACGATTTATTGGCGCCTTTTGAGATAAGTTGTACGTCAAAGTGACATGTACGTAGTGTACATGTCCACTGTAGCCATCTCGTTCTCTGTTTCTTTCTATTCGTTCACGCATTCTAGCTGGCTCCCATATTTTACACGTACAACCTCTTTGAGGATTAGTCGACAGATTTGATTCAGATTTGACTAAAAAGTCTATTCTTGACTTCTCCAGCCAACTAATAGTCGACTTTGTGTCGACTTCGTGTTGTCTGGGATCCCACTTTTTCTCGTATTTCACGCGTTTGGTATGTAATTCGAGTTTTATTCGATATTATAAGGCAAGAAATTAAATACTATTACCAACTCATTTACCATTGGTCTAAATTTATCAAAATTACAGCTTCCTACGTATCACAATAATTTAGAGTGCAATATGACAGACATGAAAAAGGTTGTACCTTTCTACTCTTCGTCAAGCGGTAATACGGAGGAGTACAAGGTCAGTTCTATAACGACTTCTCTTTTATTTTTTCACATCTCTTTTATTTTTTCATAATTCAATTTTACTAACTTTTCGTTTTTATTACTTGTTTTAACTGATTTCTGTTGTATAGATACTTTTAGAACCGATCGAATACAGTCGGCAATGCAGTGATGTACATCCATATAGAAAAATATCGTCGATTTTTAATTATTGGTTTAAAGTATCACCCGATAAATTGCAACTGATTGACGAAGTAATGCAAATGGCCTTTAGTGCATGCATCGTGTAAGTTATTTTGTTGTAAAATATAACTGAAACTTAAATACAAACCTTATGTATGAAACTTGTATATTTTTTTCTAAAATCATATGCGTGCGATAAGAAATAAGATACAATCTTTCCAAAGAAAATTACATTTTCTTCTAGAATATATATTACGAAAAATTTTCTCTTTTTATACATCTAACATATCGTTCTCTCGCAAGAAATGTGACAAGAGCCATTTTAATTCAATACAAAATTTCAGTTTAATATAAAATTATTCAGACAAGTGAGAGGGGGGGGGATAAGAAGAACATTGAGTATTTTATAAAATTATTATATATTACGCGTTGGCAGAATTATATATAAGTTAACTTATTAGAACTACTCACAAATTATTTGTTCAAAATTTTCTAGAAGATAATAATTTTGTTACGGTGTTATATGTTACCTTTGTTATTTTTAAAACTTTTCCTTGTATATTTTTCTCTCTTATTTTTCTTTAGGAAGTATTTAACATATATCACTTTTACTGAAAGTCGATGTATTTAGAATACGATCTTCTCATAATAAAAAATTAAAAAAATTTATGTCATTCTTATTGCGGGGGTATAACACGTTTTAACAATGATTTATATATTAGGTGTACAACTTTACTTCCGCCATTTTTTTCCGAAATTCGAGGCTTTATTGTAAAAAACTGATTATATTTATGGTTCAAAGTATTGTCCATCGTTGGCCACTACTTTCTCCCATCTTTTGAACAGCGTACGAATTCCACGTTGAAAAAACTGGTCATCTTTTGAGGCGATCCACAAATCGATCCAATTTTTTTTCTTCTTCAATTCTTTTTAATTTTGACACGAGTCTTGATCAAGTAATGCCTCCAATTCTGCATCTTGGAAAACCTTCTCTTTTTCACCGCTATGCCGGTCTTCACCGTTCTTGAAATGTTGAAACCACTCACGACACGTTCTTTCACTAATAGCGGTCTCACCATAAGTATTGTAGACCCTTAGCCGCAGATTTCATCATATTGAAGCAGAAAATTAAAACCTCCCGCGAATGACGAGAATTTAGCTCGTAAACTGTCATTTTCAATAAAGAATAACTTTATGATGCAGACACAAATCGATTAATGTTTCTATGGGATTATGTTGACAGATGACCAAGTTTATTGTATGACGTCTATGATTCATTTATTTCGACCACCACTTACCGCTAAAGCCATCTAGGAAAAACAGTGGAAGCAAAGTTGTACACATAATAAAAAATTTAAAAAATTTGTTAGTTAAGTCTTGATCTTCTAGTTCAATAATTCTTTTGCTGCTACAATCTGTTATATTTCTGGCTTCACCTTTTTTTATTATACTTATTTTTGACGTAAATGATACAAAAAAAAATAATACAGCCTCTCTACTGACTGAAAAGGGTAATTTCACTATATTTTTATAAATTTATGAAATTTTTGTTTCTTGATAGGATCGATGATATTCAAGATGAGGCCATTATGCGAAATGGTTTTCCTGTAACCCATTCTGTTTATGGACTTCACTACTCAATAAACGCTGCAAATTATTTACAATTTCTTGCTTGTGAAAAACTTATCAATTTACATCCCATGGTAATAAGTGGTTACGTTATGTCTGTGTAAAATTATATCTTTTACATTATGTCTTTTGCATTATGTCTTTGAAAAATTGAATGCGATTTACTCTCTTGATATTTTATAACAGTAATCAAAATAAAATAGATAGTTTTATCAAAATTCCTTTTTAGATATTCTTGCATGCATAAAAAAGATAAAAATTCATTGAGTTGATTCCAGTCTTTACTAGTTTCTTATCTGTTGAAGATGATTAAAACTTAATCCTGAATGTCAAGTCTATTTTAATGTTGTTAACGACTTTTTTCGTATAAATCATAAAATAAATTATTAAAATAATAAATCTCATTATAAAATTGCACTTTTTAC